GCGGAGGTTGCGGTGAGCCGAGATCGCGCCATTGCACTCCAGCCTGGGTAACAAGAGCGAAACTCCGTCTCAAAAAAAAAAAAAAAGAAAAGAAAGACATTTACAACATACTCAATGTGTTGCATTTCCTGGTTCTGTTGGCTCCACTATGCCATTTCCCCACTGTCTGTCTGAATGTTTCATTTACACCTGCCTATTAGCACTTTTCTTGTTTCCTGCTTTCATCTTTTGTTTGTTTGTTTGTTTGTTTGAGTCAGAGTTTTGCTCTTGTTGCCCAGGTTGGAGTGCAATGGTGCAATCTCGGCTCACTGTAACCTCTGCCTCCCAGGTTCAAATGATTCTCCTGCCTCGGCCTCCCAAGTAGCTGGGATTATAGGCATGCACCACCACATCTGGCTAATTTTGTATTTTTAGTAGAGATGTTTCACCATGTTGGCCAGGCTGGTATCAAACTCCTGACCTCGTGATCCGCCTGCCTCGGACTCCCAAAGTGCTGGGATTATAGTCATGAGCCACCACACCTGGCCCTCATCTTAATTTTAGGAGTTGAGATGCACAGAGTTTGCCCATCTAAGGGTTCAATATGGAGGGTCACAGAGCCCAGGAAGAGGAGAAGACATCTACAAATCTTGAGACTTGCTTCTACCATCATCTGCAACTCCTACAGAAAAGCTTACCTGATCTCTATCCTTAGGATGACATGGTTAGGAATAGGTCTACTTGGAGATTGCAAGGCCTGGACCGAATTGCCCATCTTAAGGCATGTGACATATAAGAGACTGGAAAGGGGACAGCTTTCCTATGGAAAAGACCCCATGATGATGCAGCTGGAGCTGCAAGTGTGTTTGGGATTCAGCCACTGAACAGGGAACTGGCAGCTGACTGTGCAGTTGCCATGTCCACGTGGCGTGGGGCCAGCTGGAGTTAGTGCATGCTGGAAGCCACACCCCTCCCTGTTTGTGGGTGAATGCACAGAGCCACTTTCCAAGAATGACAGAAATCAGAAGTCGTTTGGACAGAAGTCATTCCAGAACCCTCCCCCTGTGCTGCCCTTTTGCACTTTTTTTTTTTTGAGACAAGTTCTTGCTCTGTCACTTAGACTTTAGTGGCATGATCTCAGCTCACTGCAACCTTTATCTCCCGGGTTCAAGTGATTCTCCTGCCTCAGATTCCCAAGTAACGTAGCAGGGACTACAGCCATGCACCACCGTGCCCAGCTAATTTTTGGATTTGATTTTTTTTTTTAAGACAGAGTTTCGCTCTTGTTACCCAGGCTAGAGTGCAATGGTGCAATCTCAGCTCACCGCAACCTCCACCTCCTGGGTTCAAGCAATTCTCCTGCCTTGGCCTCCCAAGTAGCTGGGACTACAGGCGTGTGCCACCATGCCCAGCTAATTTTTGTATTTTTAGTAGAGACAGGGTTTCACCATGTTGGCCTGGGTAGTCTTGAAGTCCTGACCTCAAGTGATCTGCCCACCATGGCCTCCCAAAGTTCTGGGATTATAGGCGTGAACCACTGTGCTTGGCCCATTCTGTTTTTTGTCATTGCAAACAGTGCTGCAGTAAATAACCTCGAACAAATATCATTTCACACAGATATAAATATCTGTAGGATAATTTCTAGAAATGGCATTGCTAGCCTAAAGGATATACACATTTAAAATGTTGATAGATGCTGCCAAATTCCCTCCAGAGAGGTGCCGATTTACATTCTTAACAGCAGTTGATATGCCGTTTTTCTAACCCTGTCCAAAACCTTTTGATGTGACTTTTTTTTTTTTGAGGAGGAGTCTTGATCTGTCACCCAGGCTGGAGTGCAATGGCACGATCTCGGCTCACTGCAACCTCCACCTCCTAGGTTCAAGCGATTCTCCCATCCCAGCCTCTTGAGTAGCTGGGATTACAAGCGTGTGTCACCACGCCAGCTAAGTTTTGTATTTTTAGTAGAGATCCAGTTTCACCGTGTTGGCCAAGCTAGTCTCAAACTCCTGACCTCAGGTGATCCACCAGCCTCAGCCTCCCAAAGTGCTGGGATTCTAGGCCTGAGCCACCATGCCCAGCCAAAAGTAGTTTTCATATGCGCCTTTCTCAGTGTGAGAGTGGGCATACATTTTAATGGCTAAACGTGTTGCTGAATTTAATTTTTTCTGAATTGTGCATTTTTCCATTATTGGGTGTTCTTTTCTTATTGATTCATAGCTGCCCTAATGAGACCTTAGTCTTTAATGTGAGTTGAAGATTTTTTTCCCAATTTGGCCTTTGTCATTTGACTTTTACTAATTAAAATTTGCTAATTTTAATATATAAAATTTTATATATTTTATATTTTTAATTTTTTATGGTCTCTGAGTTTTGTGTCATGCCTTATACCCTAAGAGTGTTTTTTAAACTCCATTTTTGTTTCTAGTACTTTAAAATGTATTTAGATATCTGATCTATTGGAATTTATCTTGGTATGTGACATGGATTCAAGTTTTACTTCTAATTAAAAAATTATTTTCCAATTGTTAATTTGTTTTGAGACAGGGTCTCACTCTGTTGCCCAGGCTGGAGTATAGTGGCGATCATGGCTCACTGCAGCCTCGACTTCCCAGACTCAAGCAATCCTCCCATCTCAGCCTCGTGAGTAGCTGAAATTACAGGTGTCAGCTGGATTACAGGTACAAGCCAACACACTTGGATTAAAACTTTCTATGTTTCATATAGCTGCACCATTATCTCACATGATTTGCTGAAAAAACCATTGTTAATTTGTTCATTTGTCCTCCTTTAATTTGACAAGCTTTTTTTTTTTTTTGGAAACAGATTCTTGCTCTGTTGCCCAGGCTGGAGTGCAGTGGTGCAATCTCGGCTCACTGCAACCTCCACCTCCTGGGTTGAAGTGATTCTCCTGCCTCAGCCTCCTGAGTAGCTGGGATTTCAGGTGCCTGCCACCACACCCAGCTAATTTGTACATTTTTAGTACAGATGGAGTTTCACCATATTGGCCAGGCTGGTCTTGAACTCCTGACTTCAGATGATCTGCCCACCTTGGCCTCCCAAAGTGCTGAGATTACAGGCGTGAGCCACCTCGCCCAGCCAGACAAGCTGTCTTTATCACACAGTGAAATTCCAACATGTATTGGGTTTATATCTGGATTTCCAATTTCATTCAGTACCACTCTTTTTATTATTATTACTTATTAAAATGTTATAATTCATTAGCTTTTTTCCCAAAATTAGCACAAACCCCATAATAAGTTAAAAATCATTAAGCAATTTTAGGGGAGTGTGTCCTAGAGTTTTTTTTTTTCCTCCAAATGAAGCTTGTTGTCAGGGAGCATATCAGAGCTGTCATTTGATCAATTCTCCTCCATCTCAGAAGTGATCCCTTCTGAATTTCTCCAATAGCTTCACAGAGTGCCACCATGGGGCCCCAAGGACAAGGGCCTTACCTGGTCCAGGGTCATAGAGCTTGGGTATGACAGGATTGCGGATGGTCACTGGAAACTTGGCCACTGAAGATCTGGACTCCAGACTCACTGGAGGAAGAAATAAGGTCAGAGCACAGGCAGTATCATGTCTGGATCAAACTCCAGGCCACCCCAGGAAGTGAGCATGACAGGGGAGGGCAGGTTCGGTAGGGAGAGTCCCGGCTGGGATGAGATTATGGACCTCATAGAGTCTCTGGCATTGCAGCTTCTGCCTTGCTGTGTCCCTGGGGCAATGTGCTGAATGCCTCCTAAGTTCATATGTCTTCTCAATATATATATATATATATATGTGTGTATATATATATATAAAATAATAGGATTGGTGTAAACATTAAATAATTTTTGGAGTGCCTCGCACATACAAGTGTTTTTAAAACATTAGCTCCCAGGCTGGGCGCCATGGCTTATGCCTGTAATCCCAACACTTTGGGAGGCCGAGGCAGGAGGATCATGAGGTCAGGAGTTCTAGACCAGCCTGGCCAACATAGTGAAACCCTGTCTCTACTAAAAATACAAAAAAATTAGCTGGGTGGCAAGTACCTGTAGTCCCAGCTACTCAGGAGGCTGAGCTGGGAGAATTTACTTGAACCTGGGAGGCAGAGGTTGCAGTGAGCTGAGACTGTGCCATTGCACTCCAGCCTGGGCAACAGAGTGAGACTCCATCTCAAA